AACACTTTAGGTGAATCACCCTGTATACTACCTAATAGTCATTCTTATAGACTAGCAGAAAATTCTAAGTTTTATTTATACCCGATATTTGAAAAATTCGTTTGAAGAAAAAAATATTCTCAAAACAATTTCACTCAAAACGTTACCAACATGAAACGCTAAAAACACAGTACATCAAATACAGAAAAGGTCGTGAAATCAACACTAACTCAAATCAATGGTATAATCCTATGATTTTCGATAACCTACGAAAAGTATAAAATCGGATTACGATTTTTCACACAGCGGGCACAGGGTTGCCAACCTCACATATAACCGGTGTTCGGTGTTCACAGCCTTCAGAATCACATCAATCATGACACGATGACGATTTATCAAATCACCAAACAGCTGACTTGGCCATTGGCTATTGGCTATTGGTCAGCCGTCGTTAGTGGCTTGTAAATGCGATTGGAAACTGTTACCATCTGTTACCATACGGTTTGATTTCACAATGGGTTCGACTTTCAATAGATTGATTTCGTTTCATATCGTTATCGTTATGGTCAGAGATGATTTTTGATTTTGTACCGTAGTGGGAAAGAAACTAGATTTGGCATTTTATGTAATGTTTAGGGGGAAAATAGCAATAACTATTATCTTTGCTAATGTTCTACTGGTTTCATGCTTATAACTCTTATTTATAGCATTGCGAGACCTTTATAGTGCGAACCGAATTAATTTAATTTATCGTCTGGAAGTATTGACAAACGTGTTGACGTGTAGTTAAAATTATACATTCCCGTGGATGAGATATAATTTTGCCATCCAGAAAACTCTAGTAAACGGAATGGATAAAGAAAATAATCCAGTAAAATTTATATTTGTACAAATTAAATATGTATTTTATATATAAAACCTAAAATTATTTTACCAATTCATAGTAGATTACTATGTTTATTAATATCATTGGGAATGATTTAATCTTTTAACTCTAGTCTTGACTAAATTTTGTATATTAATTTATTTGTAAAGTTGTGTTTCAAGTGTATGGCAACATATTTAGGAGTATCTTAGAAATCGAATTTACAAAAATGACCGTTTGCTCGCTAAATAAAACTTGTTTTAGTTGTTGCGACATTTAATTTTTAAAGGAGAACCATTAAACCCATCCCTAAAATAAACTATTTTTCAACTATTCAATAAAGGTTTCTGTAAAATTTTTCTAAACAATCGGTTGCATTTTATACAAAGTTTTTAGCGATTTGTCAAAAATTAAATTTAAATTATAAACTTACCATTACTGCGAAAATTATAATGATTCTTTACAATGCATTCAAGATTATGAAAACACATTTTAATGCCATTTTTATCTTACATAACTAGCCATTCTACACTTATTCGCATTTCAATTTAAAAAATTCTAATGGAATTAAATTATCTGTTTGCTGTCAAAAGAGTCATTGGTGTTTGTTTATTCAAAATATCCGAAATTAAAACAGCTGTGTTGTTATAACTTTTTTATTTCAAATAAACAACATATAACCGTAATATAACTATAACAGTAACCAGGTTATAACATAGTTATACATATAGTCAAGGCAGTTATTCACCTAATGCGGTCCTATCTAGATCTGCTATCACCACCCCATTAATTAACTGGAGGGGGTTGGTTCTCACTAGTCCAAATCACTTTTGTGTGATTTAATAATTTCCCTAGATGAAATGATTATAGCATTGATTAAAATAATCAGTTTGAAGATTGTTATTTGCTGCTGAAAATTGGTTGACGCATTTATTTTTTCGTACAAAATCTTTTTCACTCGGTGTTCACCTGAATGTATACTTCCCAACTTGAATATTTTTACACGTAAAATATATTCTTTCTAAACTTGCAGTCTTACACACGAGTACGATTTCAAAAGGTAAATAATTTCAGGGAAGAACAAAAATTGAAGCTTGTAACAATTTTGTAAACCCACATTTCAAAATTTTAAATGACAAATCATAACAATTTAACTCACGGCGATTTCAACGCCAACAAGAGACATTTTTGGTGCTTTATGTTAAAACGAGGTCCCAAATCACCTGACGGATCCCATACAAAGAGCTAGGTTGCTCTGAATGCATCTCAACTTGATCTAAGGCTTTGTTCACACGGAAGACACTCCATCAATTTCACTTCTTTACACTTGCTAGATAGATAGTCGCGTTTATTACAATGTTTTAGCATTTGTATAAAAGAAGACACGTTTTAAATCAGATAAAATTGTAATTGTATACTATTCTTCTAGGGAGAGTAGGTTAATATATGACAGTCACTGATTAAAGCAAAAACACGTGGTTATGATTCTAGGAAAAATATAATTCCGTGAAAAGGAAAATGTATTTTATAACCATGTCAATTTAATGAATTGCTAGATAGTTTGAATAATTCAAACGTAACCAAAGAACGGGTTTGTTAGGATTTATTAGTAAAATATGTTTATTACTGTATGTCAGTCAACGATTGGGTATGATGATAACAAATGTAACTTAAAATCAAAGTAAGTTTATACATATTTATCGTCTAGTCGATGGTTACAATATGTGGGTCGAAAAGTTAATGACTTATTTTATTACATTCGTATAAATATTTCGTAAACCACAGTATACAAATTGTTTTTCAACAATTACGTTGTAAATTATAATACAACAGTAAAATTCAATAACATACAGATTACTTCGTGCTTTAATTTTGATGGAATAATTTGATTTCGTATCCATTAATGATTATCATACAACTGATTTAATTTATGAGACAAGCATTATTTCCCTAAAAATAAATCAAAGAATTGTAAGGGTTTGGTACATTGATGCGTGTTTTAGCTACAAATCAATAGCGAACGTGAAGTGAACTACAAACAGAACGCGCCAAACTTGGCAAACTTGGGTGAAAGTTTTACGCGTACAATGAATTCGCATTATGAGGAATTTCGCGGGGGAAAATATTTATTGGACGAAATTTAAACACTTTCGATAAACTATACGCTTTTAGGACTCAGGTTTGAAAATATACATTTGCAAGTAACATTTACGTTATAAATCCTACCATAACCTCCGCTAATACAATGCCGAGGCGTTGGTGTGTGGCACGGCAACGTCGCACCGGCCGACTATTGCTAGTGCGACAGCTGTATTTGTAGGCCGGGACTGCGGCGTTGCCACTTTTATCTCGCCGTGGCCTCGTACGAGAGGAGGCTATGATACTACAACAAAGCAATGCTATAAAAGGCCGCTGCTGGTTTAGAATTTAAAGAGTGACTTTCGTCCAAAAGTCTAAAAATGTCGGATACCACAAACTGCTTTTAACCGTATTATACTTTTGCGTTACAGTGTTAGAGAGCAAATCGGGGAGGTCCCACTGAAAATTCTAAATTCTTAACTGTGTATTATTTTGAGATATTTTAATTTTTATTGTGTAAAATTACTCTACTTGAAACAAAATAACTATTTTTTGACCACTTATAAACCACCCCCCTCCCCCCCTCCCCCATTTTAACCGAATTTGCAGCCTTTCACAATAACCGCTAAGGCTTTTTAACTATAAGTAGTAGATTGATGATTGAAGTGTCATTTGATAGAGTATATTACTGCAAACAAAGTTATGTATTAGTTTGAAATTATCTCTTCAGATATTATTTCTACAAATTTTAAAATTAAGAAAATAACAATAAAATTTTCGCAATATAAAAAAAATTAAAATAATAAAAGTTTCATTAGATAATTGAAAGCGCATACATAACTTTGTCCCTGTATATGTAAAGAGTAAGCATGCAAAGTTTCACTGCTGTATCTCTAATACCTTTTGAGCCTTAGCATTTTTAGTAAACCAACTCACGGTTTTCTTTACTTTCGGGAATCGCGCGTTTTCTAAAATCAATGGTTTTTTGTTAAATTTTAGCCAAAATAAGAGCTCCTAGTTCACTATTTAAGTTTTTATTGTTTACAAGTACTGCTAGTGTTACTTTTAAGAACATTTTTGGTCAATATACTTACGTAAAAATCTTTTTCAGGCATATGTACAATCCGTGATTATACAAGAAAAACACCGAAGTGATGTTTATTTCACCAAAAATTCGAGTGCACATTCAACTTTAAATATTTTTTACTCCATGAAATATGTAAATTTACATCAAATTGTTGTGTTTTTATTATATAGGAAGATTTTAATAAAAAATAGGTACAAAAAATAAAAATCCGAAATTTTTGAAATTTTTGACAATTTTCAGTGGGATCTCCCCTTAAACAAAATGAACATCTATAAAATTATGAGATTGTTTTAAACTAGGAGAACTACTTTTTAGGAAATCTCTTCCACACAAATAGAGACGATAAAAACCGACGCTCAGAATAAAACTCTAAGAAAATATTGTAATAAAAATTAATAATTATACATTTTAACTTCTTATGAAAAGTCTAAAGCAAGACAAGTAAACGCTTCGATAGCTGAATGTAGACATCCCATTTCAGTTGATCACATGTGCCTGGATCTTTCAAGGGTTCAATTTAGCCTCTGAGAGAGAGAGGAATACTCTCGCCTGATCTAACTCAAGATGAATACGATATTACAGTTTTGTATCTCAATAAATGTTGAGATAAATACCATATTTTTTCTTTTGCAAATTTAACTAGCATTCAAAATTTATTAAGGTACTGGTAACAACCAATTCACTGTTACACCAATATTTAAAAATTAATAGAGAAGATCAACAAATGATTAACTGTAGCATCTCAATTAATTTTTATGCACACTTAGTTCAAATAAATAATTTTTCGTATTCATTCAGTACTTTTGTATGGACAGTCTTGCGAGTCAGTTTTATTCAATGTATGTGTAATGCACAAACACTTAATAATAATTCAGTTAAATAAAGTATAACCACTTTAACCACTTTCTGATAAATTTCAACTCAAATCAAACCAATAACATCCCTATACAACCTCGATAACTCAACATATCCATTATCAAGACACCCTACCTCGCTCTAGGCAGTCCACACTCTTGCTCTCCGAGAAGTGCACCTTGCGGCGGCGACGTGCCGGTGCCAGAGGTATATCCTCGTCGAGGGCGGAGCCCGACAGGTCCACGGGGGAGAGGTTCTCCCTGCTTAGCGACGACACCAGGATACCTCGTAGCTTGGCTAGGGCCGAGGGTGACAATCCTCTCTCGTCGTCTCTCTCCTGGTCCATCCCCATGGTCACTTGACACTTCACTACGAGTCTACCATTCCTAGAGGCACTTCACACGGGAACACGTACATTTCATGATGTTCACATATACATTCTGGCGTCATTTACATCCTGAGGTATATGTTTCATCGATATACTGTAAAACCGTTGACTATGAATGCTGAAATAAAGAATTTGGTCCTACCATGCCGGATGTTGTAATACAGGAATTTAGATTACAATTATGTCTTAACCTTAGTGATATTATCAGTATCGGTTATTAATTTTATACAGTACTGTAAAAATAGTCAAAATAAAATGTTAAAACTATTTCCTCAATGTTGAGTTATTTGATAAATTTGTAAAACAAAGAACACACAATTAGCAACTTTCTGGTTGTATTTTGTGGCTAAGGTTGAGTACCACCAGACCAATGGAGAGTCTAATTCAGCATGCAACGTCAATGGTGTTACAATACGATTATAATTTTATCGTTATTGTGACGTTTTGTGCCAACATGAATAATATATTTCCCCCCCCCCTTTTAATATATTTTTTATGCAATTTAATCGAAGAACAAATATTAAAAATTAAAAATATTTCAAGCGACCAGTCGATAGCATTCGTTTCGAGCATCGTACCCACCAAACGCTTGTCCATTATAAAATCTGGTGTTCTAAAACACAAATTCTCACAAACATAATGTTGAATTTAGTAAGATTAACAATTACTGAATTATTTATAATCACCCTATTACTGACCGTTGATTTTCTGCTGGAATAACAATTGCTCTGACCTCCAGACATCTTAATTGTATATTTACATACCAAGGCTAATGGGGCTGCCTCACTTTCATTTCGTAATACTGTCCAAATTAGACAACACCGTTTCCTCTTATTAAATCCACGCGGCGAGTCTTGTGTGATTTACTATTGCACTTTGTTTGAATTTTAATAGTACGAAAAATAAAAAAAAATATACCTGTACCAATTACGTATTTCGCGATTTAAGTTTTTTCATCTGGCATATAACCGTTCCTGAACAGTTGTGTAAGTCGTATTGTTTTCGGTGATTTCGCATAAACTTGGATTTTATTTGCAAAACAAAGCCTGGCACAGCAGGAAGATCCGATAAGGTAAAAGTTGGACCAAAGCCGGCGAAATCGGACAAACTTAGCCCATTCATCAACTAGCCTGTCTGAGCCACTAGTTCTGTTCCACTGCTAACCTGTGAATATAGATGCAAATATAATGCGGACGAAATATTATCTCGTCTTTCAACTTAGCCGAAATATAGAATAATATATTAATTATTGTTTCAAAATCAATTTATGGACAATAGTTAAGACCATGTATCAAATTTATATTTTGCAAAATCCCTTCATTCTGCCTTAGTTATCATTCTCGGCCTATACACATGAATCTTAAAATTATTTTTAACTACAGACGGTAAACTAGTAGAGTAATTAGTTTATGTATTGCTTACCTCAGTTTTACGAAAAAATGAATTGATTCAAACCAATAAACGTTTTAAGTATGAGAAATTTGGCTTCGTACACAAGATACCCGCGTTTCTTAAACGTTTCATAAGCTAAGAGACCATTGAATATGCAAAATTGAATATTCGTGCAATCAATACGATACCGTTTTTTATTGAAGGGGTTTTGGTTTTTATAACCAATGTTTAGCTAATTAAAATGTTTAAATGTTTTAAGCTAAAATTGGCAAACTATTCTATTTATATTACAAGTAAAATAGCAATATCTCAACTCAAGTATCAAGAACCCTACCAAACTTTTTGCTAAATTTAGTTAGGTTAAGGAATGCAGGGATCTTCTTCAATAGTCATTGTTTAACAATCAACCGAGTATAAAGGTATAGGCCTGAAGCAAAATAGTATTACTGTAATAATTGATATTTAAAATGCAAAAACACGTTTTAAAAACAATCTGTGAATAAAAAAAGTACTAACTGCATCGAATGTAACGTTAATCGATAAATGAAGCAAAATATACTTAAAACATTTCAAAATATTCTAACTAAATACATACAACTTCCCTAGTCATGAGTAGTCCATGTGATATTTACCATAAACACTTGTAGTTACACAGATGGTACACACACACAAGCGATACTAGCGCTGACACATTACACCATAACCGGTTCCTAAATTCCACCAATCTCTACTGCGCAATCGGCTTTCGGCAGACACATAGCCAAAACATATTTATAGTTGTTTAAAATCTTGGCAGTAAAATAATATAATTTATCATCAACTAACTACATCGTACATTTCTTTTGCACCACATCACCGTATTAATCAAAGTGGTCATACAACTATAATAGTTTTTTTTTTTTACCTATCCTTTAAACGTTTAAACCGAAACCACACGTTTCTCTAAAATAATCTGGACGGAAATGGAAAATCCAAGCATTAGATAAATAACGAATGATTTTACAGTGGTTATTTGTCAACGTGCCCATCACTGTACGCTTTGAATTGCAACACGACACAGTAACTAAACTATAGATTTTAACGTTCTTGAAAATTTGCAAAATGTCTCTGACGAAAATACAATAAAAATACCTTAAGATTTCTTTTTACGCCCCTGACTCATTTAAACATTTAAGCAAATTTAAGTACCATATATCACCCCACAAAAACGTTAGGCCTATTTCATTGTCATTTGTATTTTACAAACCCTTTAAAAAGTTGGTGGTTCAAATAAAAGGATATAAATAAATTTAAAATATTTTATGTCCAATACACACTGTCACGAAATACCATTGAATAAATTTAATTCAACTAGCCCAACAAATGAATGTAAAGAAGGTATCAACACATAGGCAACCATATATAGATTTCAATGGCAAATTAACAATCACATCGATGTAGCAATGTTCAATTTTAGATAGCAAACGAAGAGACACAAATCTACAAACATCACGTCGTCAGGTTTAACCGACTTTGTCTCTACACTTAGCGAGGAGATAACACACGGGATGTAGACACTAGACAGTGATGTGTTAAACATTGTCCCCGATACAGCGATGTCCGCTCCACCCTATGTGTTTCATCCCCTATACAAGGGTGGAACTTTCTACAAACAGCGTATTGTTTAGCCTATTTGTAAGATTACAACATACACTACCTAAACGATTTTTATTAACTAACATAATCCAATATAACAAAAAGTTAAAGGCTTACAGAATAAAACTAGTAGCCTGGAAATAATACCAATGTCGACGATAACTCTGCCTACGAAAACAACAGTATTAACTTAATCATTACGTCATCATGTACTTTGTACAACAACTGAGCCAACCTTGATATTCTCATCCTGAAATGCGCGCACCAAATTCCACGCATCACGGTCGACATACGACAGCGAAATCACAGGGTTGGTAGCCTTGATACTGTATGAACAACTAACAACCTCTGCTAAACTAGTTTTACTTAAAGAAAAACATTAATTCTTTCGTAGTTTCATAACTTCAATAACATAAATTGTATTCTGATTAATTGTTTTAAACACTCTAACACAACAGTAATCTCTTGTTTCAAACACCATCGAGATTTTACGGTGAGCATTCGACAACTTTTCTCCAGACAACTTTCCGACTCTTTGCATAAACTCAATGCCTAATTTACCAAAACTTAGAGGAGTGACTCCCTTGGACAAATTCGTTAACCACTCTGACTGGCTGAAAAATGTCCTAGTTTCTGTCAAAAAGACTATAAAACTCTATTATACACTTTCATACACTTACTTAGCAGGTGTCCAATTAAGGTGCAAAACAGTAATTTAAATAAGAGATCATCTGCAAACAACAAAATCTAGGAAGAAGCGGAAACTATAGTGAAATGTCGGGAACTAGAAGTTGAATACTAACAAGTTGTAGCTGAGAATGCCAGGTTAGGCAACTATGACGGTGTTACGTGGTAATTATCGTTTTCCTAGGTTGGCAGTCCTGGGAGCCTGACTGTCTAACAGGTTAATTAACCAGATAACCGATCTTGATGGATAATTAGGTTATATTTAGCGATTACGCTTGCAGGGAAAACACAAGCACAATGCATCGTACAGCTGTGAAGATTGTGATAAAAGGAGCCAAGGACAAGAAAATCTAGGAAGCAGAGGTTTAGGATTAAATCATGATCAATTTTAATCACTGGTTACTCGATAGTAGTTTGGATTATCATCTGATCTTAAAAACCAACAACCGTTGATTAAAATTCTTAGATAATGATCGTATTTGTTTGGTAAATAAATACGATTGCGAGTGTGATGCTTGGAAATCCAAACACCAACACCAATGGCATTCCAATCAATTTTAAATATTTTTATAAGAAATACATTTTAAATACATGTCTTAATGTGTATGTACCATGCTAAATGTGTAACGTGGTATTGGTGAACGAATTAGAAAATATGAAATAAGCGACAACCATAGTTTACGGTAATCCACGACGAAGATGGTTCAAAACACATAATTTTAAATATAAATAAATGGTTTCAATGATATTTGGAATATCCGACCTCGCTAGAGCAGAGCTTATTTTATACTTGGAATATTGTTGTCGAGTTACAAGTTTACATTTTGACAAAATAAACTTCTAAAAATAGTTCTGCCACTTTATTCGGTACAAATCGATCTGTTATAAACAGGAAATTAAAACGGAAATTCAATCACTCGTCGAATATTTGCAGCACAGTAATCATTTTCACGATTGACAAGATTTTATAAACTTTTTCAACTGAGAACTATTTATAAACGTTCACTGCATTAAAAGCTGTTTCAACTCCGTATAAAAGCGTGACATCTCAGTGTTGGGGGAATACAGCACAGAGCTATTTACAATTTTAATAGAATTCTCACACAAAGTAAAACCACTTTGGCGGGGCGTCGCTTCACAACAGTATAATGGGTTTACTGTGTGAAACGTCCTTATAATCCTCCAGGGTTTGAGGTTATTTTGTAAAGGTTATCGTGATTTCCGAATCTACATGTATTTAACTACTCTTCATTACAACTGGGTACGACCACTGTTAGAAAATATTAGGGCGTAAAGTGACTCTTTTCCAACCAAGCTCAAGTTTCACGACCGAGGATTGAAAGATACTTTTGCCCGTGAGATGAACTATATTTTTCCTCATTTTGGGAAAAAAACTCAAGTACTTGTTGTAAAAAGACAACCTCTCAAAACTACTTCCAATCTGTTTTAAATTGTGGTAATGCAAACAAGCGAATCTTTGGTAAGCGGTTCAATCATTTCGTCTAATACGATTGTGTTGGTGTACATTATACTACCAGACCGGTGTAAATATATAAGTTAAACGAATTGGAAAGAGTTTTGGATTTACCAATATATTGACGTTCTAGATAATTATAATTAATATACACAGCTAAGGGAATGTTGAAACGCGAATAACGGTATAAACTAAAAGGATCAAATAAAAATACCAAGAAATTACAGCAATTTCTACTGTACATAAAACAAGGTAAAGATTACAAAACCCAAGTAAAATACAACCTCAACGTTTACAAGACACGGACATCGCTGAAATGAGATGAAGAAGTAAAAGACGTCCAATATCTGAACTGATATAAGGGTTTCCATCACGCGATATCAGTCAAACTAACATGTCCATGTCTACTGAGGTGCGCTGACAGAGATGAGGAAAATACACACGCGGTCTGTGTGGACAATAATATCAGTTCGTATACGACAACTGTGTAAATATACAAGTTTTATACACATATGAAAAACAGTTCGAAATGATTAGGTGTAAGTAAAAAAATTGAACTGTTTCATGCGAACAAGTAAATAAATACCTTTGTGTTACGTAAATATAGCCTAATTCATGTATCTAAAACGGATTATAAGAGTTCAAGGGTACAGTTTATTAACTGGGCTATGCTAATATCGATTGAAACTATCGAATTGAAAATATCGATTAATAATCGATATTTTAGCGAATTTCCCTATAGGGAAATAGCTATTTTACTATATCAATTATAAAACGAAAATGTCCTAACCTAACTAACTAAACTTCCCGATAACTTAATGAAAAAATTGAATGAAGGTTCACTAATCGAATCCATAGTTTAAATCAAATCCATAGTTTCAATCGATATTAGCATATATACAAGCTGTCTTAAGAAACTGTACCCGAGTTTAAAGTAGGGACAGAATCCCCAAAACTAACTTACTCGCTTCTTATACCACAAATTAATATTATGCCCAAAATATATACGAAAAGATTAACCGACGGAGCATAGAAATTGTTTTCAACTACAAAATTAAACCATCTCGTTGTTTTATGTCACAAAAACATTATTAAAAAATCTATTTAATTTAAAAAATCAACCCCCCACAAAAAAACCGAGAACATTCACATTGACACAAAAAATCATATAAAATAACAAACCAAACATGTAACTAACCACAAAACTTCACAAACACAATCCACCACAACACAGGTTTTCAAGAATGGAACTCGCGAATGAATGGACGCGACCGCACGGCGCGAACCCGCGAAGGCACTACTGCACTGACTGTACCTACACTACCACAGTGCCTTTCCACTACCACAACCACTACCTACACGTCACCAGACACACCTAGCCACGACCTTGGCAGGTACAGTCCCTGGCTGCGGACAACTTTAAAGTTGAACTGGAGGCAATATGAGAGGCTACGGTAGGGTTCAATGGGTGTTGAGTGTGTAAGTTGCTCGAATTTGAGAAAGGGAATGCAGGGAAATTATGTTGAGAGCTACAGTAGGGTTCAATGGGTTTTGATGTGTAAGATAATCGAATTCGAGCATGGATCAGCAGGATATTATGAACACTTGAGAGAGGCTATGAGGTCAAATGGATGTCGAATGTGGTAGTTGATCGAATTCGAGCAAGAGCAATCATGTTGAAATGCTATGGTACGATTCAACAGGTTGTGGTGGGGTTATCGAAATCGAGCAGGGGACCGCAGGATACTATGTACGATATGGTTCAACGGTGGTTAAATTTGGAAAAAATTATCGAACTCGAGATTATTGTGTTTTGACCTTTTGGCACATCAAAATGAACAAGTAAATTGGTCCTGGTTCTTAGTTATTTCCGTGACACATACAATAATAGCTTCTTCTTCCCTATAGGAAAATTTGCTTAAATATAAACAATTCACATATTTCTTTTATAAAAGTTTCTTTGTATTAACCATCTCTTGAAATGAGTAAAAGCACGTCAAATGTTTAAATATAGGCTATTTAGAATCAATATACAGTATAAAATGTATAAATCGAAGCTTATAAAAGTCACACTATGAAGTGAGGAAGGAACATCGTGATAAGATGTCTGGTAGGCCTACATAAGGTTGTGTGAAAGTTTGTGGGAATACCCAGGTTGTATTTAGTTCTGGGTGACAAAATGTTAATTTAGCCTTAAAAAGTGCTTTCTTTTTTTTAGATTAGGTATGGATCGAATGTTTATATGTTAAAAAATAATTTGTTGTAATTTCAATCTACTGAAGTAAATTATAACAGGATAACTCGGCTATATAAAAAATACTTTTAAATATTACTCATCCCGATTTCCTGACAAATCACATGTATTAACGTGTCATTACGTTTTTTGTGAATACAAAGTACACATTATTTGAATACAAAGTGTTTTCATTAGTGCATGATTTCAAATTTAGACTGAATGCAGCGTTGTAAGCGGCTTGCCCGAGGCAAAGGCCGTGAAATTAAACCCCGGTTTGTACTTTGGTTGTCTGTGGTCAAACTTGCATAGAACTGCTTTCGTTTTATTTTTATAAAAACGTGCTTTCACACTTTAAAATCTGAAAATGTAATTACAATAATTAATTAATAAGTAATAAGTAATTAAATGTAGTGCTTTATAAGTAAAGAGCAGCGACCATTACGTTCAAAGATGTAATTGATTGCCTATCAAGGTGTAATTAAATATTTGAAGTAGAGCTACAAAATACATTATAATATGCAAACTAACCTTCGATTTTGCAATTTTAGATACACAATTGTATAATAATATTATCCTAGTCGCATGTTGAACCATCGCCACAAATAATAAAAAATTTGGTAAAGTTACCAATATATACTGCCTCAGTACCCCTATATTACTTATACATCGTTATTTTACAATGCTAAACCTAAAGAACTTAGTGTAAACATGAAACCCTTTAGGTCCCAATCAACTATATTATATTAGAGGAAACCAAACCTCAACAGTATCAAATGCAATAAAGTTCACTTTGAGTAGAATACTGGCTATTTCTCGTTAATATGGATGGTGTGTGAACTTCAATTTATAACTGCCAACTAAAACTTTAAAACATTAAATTTATAAATATTGTAATTTATTGTCAAGAGGGGGTCAGAAGGTTTTAAGGGTACCACTGCTTCTTTATGTGGTATATGATTTTAAAAGAAAAATTAATTGTTGATTGTCAATGTAGAAATTAACTTCGTTTCAGGCTTTGCGATAAAATTTGTTCGTTAGCTATTTTTTCCTCAGAAAAAATAATACTTTAAGGTCCAAGAGACAAAACTGTTTCAACACGATTTTCCCCTGTATCAATGTTTATTTACTATAGCTGTGCGTGATACGCTTAAATCACGTCGGGATCGTGGACAAGCGATGGTCCATGCCTGGTGACGTATTGACATGTAGCCAATACGTCACCGTTATACGAATCAAAACTGTCAAATATATTTTGGCATTGAAAATATTACGGGGTTGACTTATTTCTACTGTATTTTGCGGATGGAATTCTTTATTTAGTTCGGATACGATAACTGTAGTGCTTTATACTAGTTTATTTTTGTTTAGTTTATGAAACAATATTATGGTCATTCACTAATTGACTCTTTATTAGCATTGAATGTACTGTATATAGCAAATATAGGTGCGTTGTCAATGTTGTGAGCGATTATACATTCGTAATACAGAATTACTTTTTTATCGAATAGGCTACAACACTGTAAATTGTATTGGTTACAATTAATTAATTAATAGTTACTGTACTTAAAAATCAGTAACAGGGCTTAGCACACCTAATTTTTAATAAAAAATGACCATTAACCTGTTATTAAATAGGTATGTTCAAAGCAACCTGTGGCTACGCTGTATTATTGTTAATGGAAACTGGACGTTACGTTTTATTTTAAGAAAACAGAAACGTAGTGGAATGAACTAGTACGTCTAATATGTGTGACTCAATACAGCAAACGGCGATATTTTGCATTGCCGATTACGGATTAATCAAACAAGTTACTACAGCTTCCTTCTTCAGTTATTGAAATCAACACACGACTAATTGTGCTGATCTAGGTTACAGATTTCTGTCGAATACTAAAGATTTGTATCAAGTCAAACCGATGGAATGACTTTGTGAGCTACAGCAACCATTTTGTTATACCGGGGTCATCGTGGGCCTTATATAATGTTTCAAAACCCATACAGATTTAGAAAACTGGCTATTCAAGTATAAACGTGACATGGGGGTATGTATCTACATCTAAGGTATATAGATCCATCAAGGACCCACCAACCTTTTCAGCAACAACAAAGAAGGTATAGAAATATAGAACTTAAGACACTAGCCACTAGCGCATTCTGTGACTGGCTCACACAACTATGTTCTGTATTGGTAAAAAAATTGGCAACTGCCGGTGCATATATATGGGATGTCTACGTCAGTATCCAATGGTCGACGGTAAAACTTAGTGAGATGATTAGCGAAGCATAGCCAACATAACACAGCTCGCCCGTCGCCCCCTTCGCCGTCTGCCCGTTCGCCCGTCATTTACTGCATGTGTGTGTGTATATATGTGTGGTAGTGTGTGTGAGTCGCGAGGCCGTGCAAATTAGTGCATAGAGTGATAATTAGCTTTGCCCGGTAATTGCCGTTATTAGCACTGGTTTACGTGACTCTACTTGAGAGGCCATGTTGGCAACACTGCGCTTCACCTGCTACCTACATTGTATGCCGAGATGGACAAGACATTACCACACATGACCGTCAGTAATCATTGTATATCTATTGAATGAAATGTAATACATTTGCACATATCATATGGAAAACCATCCCCTCAATCTATCAGAAAAACTTTGGAATCGTCAAACGTAGTTGCTTCGCCCTCTACGATATCCCGTCAACATTAATTGCTACTGAAGTAAACATTTACTACATACTTTTACTTTAATACTTTTCATTGAAATTGTGAGCCCATACAAAGTAGGTATTTGAAGCCAAGTATGAATGAGATGAGTGTACGATGAGTGGCGCGATCTTGTAGTATTGTTACCGACTACGGCCGACATATTCCTTAGACACAGCTGTTTAATTAAAAGCCCATGCATCTAATGGACCTACAGTTTATGGTGGAATACGAACCACATTTTTGCCTTGGTATAAACGAATTGGTCTAATTATCAGGATGGTACTGCGGATAGTACTCACTATAGCGGACGTTAATTCACACCATGGAGTATCGCATCCACCAGTGCATGCCTATAAATATCCACAATTTAAAGGATTATATTTATTTATCGTCTATACAGCGAATGATTTCTTCAAAATAATACGAATCGTTGAATGTGCCACTTACACATGCACTATTATTGTTGGAAATAAACTTTTAGTAAAATACTGTATAACATCTTAAAAATATCAATAACTCTTCTTCTTAATTGGTTTGTTTAAAATGAGTATCCGACAAAAACCAGCCTTTCGTAGCAACCTCTGTCGGTAGCTCGATTTAACTAAATTTCATCTTAAACCGGCAAGAACTTCAACATGGGACACCCTTACTTCCAAAAATTGGTTCCATCAACTGTTATAAGATTGAAGAAGAAAATTGCCTCACTCAGTGTATTTTATTTTATTTTTGTCTTTTTGACCATGATGTCCAACCCAAAGATTCTAGTAACTTTTTATAACTGTGAACACATAGGTTCCAAACAAGGCCGACAATTGCGTATGAGAACATAACCAAAGAGAGAGAGAGAGAGAGAGGACAGAATGATTGTTGATACAACTGCTTAGCGCCACAACCAACGTCAGTACACGTTGCAACATGGAGATGAATACAACTCAAATAATCACCGCATTCAACAGACTCAATAGACACTGCTTCTTTCACACTTCACAACGTTATAGAAACAAACTACTGCCTGTCCGTGTAATGAAATTAATTATCGTCAATACAAATTCACGCTAACAATGATAAAGTTTAATCCATTTCGTCGGAAAGTTTAGCACAGCTTAATTAAAAGGATATGTTGTAATTAATTTATGTAAGTTGAAAAATTCTATTAACAAATAGAAAATCATATTTCTATCACTATAGTATAGGGTAGGTGAGTGGATGAAGTGCTGGGGCATTGTGATCTCAAGGTTGCCAGTTCAATCCTGAGAAACTCAGCATCATTTTTACGTTCCAAAAAGTTATTTTCGTCATTGTACGAAAAACGCCACGAAACACGCATATAAATGCGTCGGAGTAATAAACATTGAAGC